CAGCGTGTGAATTGAAATGGTCTATTGGAAATAACTTTACTTCTGAAAGTAGCTCCAACAAACGAGTAAGTACTATGCCTCTTGACAACCACCTTATTACTTCTGTATGATGAAGAATGTGGACACGGGCATCACCCATTTTACTGCACAGTTCACTAAAAAGTCGGGAAATTCATAGTTTCGAGCTTTTAACTTAAATTACCTTTTCCCAGCAAAATTCAAAACGGCTTTTATTTCCATGGCATTTTCTTGACGAATGCGTAATCATCTGTACGTAAAACTCTTATCACACTATCGTAGCCGGTGTGAGCTTGCCTGTGACGAATCGCATCGTTTCATTGTGCACTACTGGTTGCTACGGAGAACCAGGTGCATTTATCTTTATTACAGTAGACTCGCGATTACCCACGTGAGGTTGAGCCGATTTGCAGATTAACAACGCACCTGAGATTGTTCCATGAACAAATAACCCATGGATTTTCCCGTAAGCCCAAATTAATAATCTAAAAACAGTCATACAATGTTATTCTTGGAAATGTTTACTGTATTACAGGTTACGTGCTTTAACCGAACCAATATGTGCTCCGGTTAATCCTAAATCCACGTGATCGCCTCTACAGTACATTAGCTGCATATATTTTTAACAGGGGGCAGAGTTTAATTGATTTGGATTGGCGTGGCTCTACTGTCCACTTAGTGGGTCGAGTCTTCTGAGCGGGATCAGGAAATTGCTATCACTGAGCACGCGCATCATCGATCGGTCGATCGTGAGTATTCATTATAAATCGAAAGACTAACAATCCAAATCGTCAGTTGTGCTTCATTTTGAATGATTTATCCGATCATTTATTTTCAGTTTTAATCTACGAAACTATACGATGGCAAAGAAACATAGAAAAAATGTATCTGTATAAATGGTGTTGGCATAGAGTTCCGCGGAAAATTTATATATTTTTTTATTATTCGCCATTTTTTATTATCCGCGACTGGCCTCCCCGTCATTAGTGCGGATACTCGAGTCTCCTATATTTAAGAGAAAACAATGGTGATCAAGGATTGGACCCCGAGCTCCCACGTGCACAGTAGGGTACGAGGCACACCCCTAATTTAGATTTGGGGCTGACTGCAGACTGAGGAATTCAGCTGCGGTGTTGTGAAGTGAGGGTGCTTCTGATCGCTATTTCAGATAAGGCCACTGCCCTTCAGAAGAACGCTGCGCTACGAAATAATGTTTCGCAGGTTTCACCCCCCCCCCCCACCCCGTGTACAACGCAGAATCTCTACTCATCATCGTCACCGGACTTTATTTTTTTTCATTGTTAATTCGTTCATTTCTCAATACTATTGTATTGGCGGGGGTCGCAGCGGCCAGTATGTTGAGTAAGATGGTCCAGACCTCCCTTTCCCTGGCGACAAACTGTAGCTTTTCCTGTGGAATTTCAGGCCAGCTGAGTGACATAGTATCGCCAGCGTTTCCCCGGCTCCAGGATCTTCGCCCAGTGGGACGTGCCCGGTAGAGTTCCAGGGGGAGTCTATCGGGGGGGCATCCTTACCAGGTGCCCGAACTACCTCAACGGGCTCATCTCGATCCGGAGGAGCAGCGGCTCGACTCTGAGGCTCTCCCGGATTACCGAGCTCCTCACCAGATCAAGGAGAGAAACCTCATTTCGGTCCCTTGTACTCGTGATCTGATCCTTTCGATCATTACCTACAGCTCGTGACCATAGCTGAGGGTGGGAACGTAGGTCGACCTGTAAACCGAGAGCTTTGTTCAAGAACTCAGCTCCTGCTTCACTACCACGGAACGGTACAGTGCCCGCAACACTGCGATCACCGGACCGATCCACCAGCCGATCTCCCGCTTCCACTTACCATCACTCGCGAAAGAGACCCCAAAGTACTTAGACTCCTCCACTAAGGGCAGCTATTCCCCCCTCACCTGGAGAGCACAATTCTATTTCGGATTTATATACCGCCCTTTCCATCTCCCGGGAGTGAACCATGACCACAGATTTGGAGGCACTGATCCTTATCCCAGCCACTTCGCACACGGCATAAAACCGTTCAAGTGCATGCTTGGAGATCACAGACAGACGAGGCAAACAGGAAAACGTCATCTGAAAAAAAATAGCGATGCCACCTCCATGCCCCTGTACTGGATACTCTCCATACCTCAGCTGCGCCTTGATATCCTGTCCATGAAAATCACAAACAGGAGTGCAGACAAGACGCACGCTTGGCGGAGTCCAACACCCACAGTGAACGACTTTGATTTAACACCAAGAATATGGACACAGCTCTCACTCCGAGAATAGACGGACCGGATAGCGCACAAAAACTGCAACGGTACATCATACTCCTTCTCCAAGTCTGCAAAGCAGAGGTAGGACTGGAGAAGCATACTCCCAAGACCCCTCAAATATCTGTGAGAGGGAAAAGAGCTGGTCCATTGCTCCACGACAACGACGAAATCCACATTGTTCCTGCTGAGTCTGGGGCTCGAACACGGGCGGAGCCTCCTCTCGAGCACTCTGGCATAAGCTTTACCTGGGATGCTGAGGAGTGTGATCCCTCTGTAGTTGGAGCACACCCTCTGGTCCCCTTAAATTGGGAACCACGACCCCAGTTTGTCAATCCAGAGGTACTGTACCCACCTTCCATGCAACATTGAAGAGGCGCATTAACCACGACCCTCCTACGCTGTCCAGCGCTTTCAACAACTCTGGGCGAATCTCGTCCACCTCAGCTGCTTTGCCGCTTACGAAGGCCCTCAACCGCCGACCTGTTCCCCCCTCACAAGGATTCACGACAGGAGGAGAGGAGACAGGGCAGACCGGCTACACTGTATATATAGCATCTAGAAGCTCGTTGACACTTCCTCTCCATGATTAGGCAACCTTTCCACGGACCACCTGAACAGAGCTCGCGAAAGACCAGTGTGGTCAACGGACCACGGTTTGAGAACCGCTGCTCTAGAACGTACATCAGTAATACTCTAGAATATACATCTCTTATACTCTGGAACGTACATCCATAATACTTTAGAACATACATCTCTTATACTCTAGAACGTACATCTGTAATATTCTAGAACGTACATCCGTAATATTCTAGAACGTACATCCGTAATACTGTAGAACATACATCCGCAATACTCTTGAACACACGAGTAGGAGACTTTTGAACCTTCTCCACGTTGTATTCAGACGTGCGCACCGAGGGCGGTCTTCAATGAAACACAGGAACCCTGTCCGTGGCGCAGTACGATTGTTTTCACAGTAATGGTCCGAATTAACACGTACATACAACATGCAGCACTTTGATTTACACTCAGCAGCGTGAGATATATATAACGCACCCAGCGAAATCCGTCACGTAAACATCTCCAATAGCAGCAGCAGCGGGTTAACTCGCTCTCAATATTAAACGATAACAAATATCAGAAATAAAGATCGCTTACGACGGGAAGAAAAAGCAGCGTCTTGGTGACAAAATAAGTTAAGCAAACGCTTCGCCTGCTGCCCGTATCCGTTCCTCTACGTAATGCCAGAGCAGGGTTCCCTTCGCTTTATGCGGTCGATTAGTTAACAAGTATAACCCGTAAAAACAAAGTTTTTCACTATAAATCCTTTATATGCGTGGCGGCTAGAGTCCTCTCGTCCTCTGGCCTGAGATGGCTGCCACCTATGGGTCAGATGATTGCATGGCACCATTAAGCAATTGTAATTAAATATAATATTGTTGTCCTAAAAAGTGTAACATTTTGGAAAAACATTTTCACGAACATTAATTGTCACGCACAACGAGTCTGTGTGGAAAATGTCAGCTCGATTGGATCACGGGAAGTGGGTAAAAAAACGACCGAAAGATTTGCTCGGTCGTAAGCAAGCAAGCGCGCAAGTGAACTTAATATAAAGGATAAAAAAAGCGGGCAGCGCAAAGCGAAACGGCATAGCGTGGGGACCGTACGGTCAGCCAACAAGCCAGAGGGGAGGACACAGTACACACACAGTGTACACAGAGTACACACAGCACACACAGTGTACACAAAGTACACACACAGTGCACACACAGAGTACACACACAGTATACACAGAGTACACACAGTACACACAGCACACACAGTGTACACAAAGTACACACACAGTGCACACACACAGTGCACACACAGAGTACACACACAGTATACACAGAGTACACACAGCACACACAGTGTACACAAAGTACACAGTGCACACACAGAGACAACACACAGTATACACAGAGTACACACAGCACACACAGTGTACACAAAATACACACACAGTGTACACACACCGTACACATACAGTGTACACACAGCACACACACAGTGTACACAAAGTACACACACAGTGCACACACAGAGTACACACACAGTATACACAGAGTACACACAGCACACACTGTACACAAAGTACACACACAGAGACAACACACAGTATACACAGAGTACACAGCACACACACAGTGTACACAAAATACACACACAGTGTACACACACCGTACACATACAGTGTACACACAGCACACACATTGTACACAAAGTGCACACACAGTGCACACAGAGTACACACACAGTATACACGGAGTACACACAGCACACACACAGTGTATACAAAGTACACACACAGTGCACACACAGAGTACACACACAGTATACACAGAATACACACAGCACACACAGTGTACACAAAGTACACACACAGAGACAATACACAGTATACACAGAGTACACACAACACACACAGTGCACACAAAATACACACACAGAGTACACACACAGTATACACACAGCACACACAGTGTACACAAAATACACACAGTGTACACAGAGTACACACACAGTACACATACAGTGTACACACAGCACACAGTGTACACAAAGTGCACACAAAGTGCACACACAGAGTACACACACAGTATACACGGAGTACACACAGCACACACACAGTGTACACACAGAGTACACACACAGTATACACAGAGTACACACAGTACATGTGCAGTACACACAGTATTTACAGTACACGCACAGTACACACACAGTACACACAGTGTGCACGCAACACACATAGTACATATGTAGAGGCGTGTATGGGCTATATCAGAGGTCGCAACCGGGTACCCGATACTCGTACCCTACCCGATACCCGGCTACCCGTACCCGGCCGGGTACGGGTACCCGTTTGCGACCCTGGTGCGGCCGGGTACGGGTAAGGAATCAAAACCCGTTTGCGACCTCTGGGCTATATGTAGCGATGTGAACGGACTGGGTACACCTACCTGTAGGGGCTGACACAGTCCAGCAGGAGCAGTCGCAATATCCCTCGCCCAGGAGCAGGAGGGGGCTGTGTCGTGTTCTGTGATCTCCCGGGGCCCCTCCAACGGGTGGGGGCTGCGGGGTGTCCTACGATCCCTCGGGACCCCGCCCCTCGGTTTGGAGGTGTATAAAGGGCGGACCTCTCTACAGGCTCGGGGCCAGTTGAAGACAGAAGACGGAGCAAGCTAGGTAAGACCCTGGGAACCCCTGGCCCGACGTCCTTATCAGGGCCGGGTCCGAGCGAGCTAGGTCGGGTCAGATAGCCTCCCCTAGGAAATACATAGTCGGAGGAAGCTGAGAGCGTAGCCGGTGTCAGGCACGCTAGCCGTAGGCTGTGTTCCTAGGCTGTATAGCTGGCTGTTACTGTTGTGTGTTATAAATAAACAAGTGTTGCCTCCAAGATCCGTCTCCAGAATCTGCGACACTACACAGAGTACACACACAGTACGCACATACGACCGTCTTTTTTCAGAAGACGGTCGCTGTTGTTGCGATCGAAACGTCATGATCTATTATGTTTTCTACCTACGTGACTGCCGAAAGAACCAAAGAATATGGATTACTGCAGTCACGAAAGCTTCAAATCAAGTACGCACATAGTACACACACTGTACACACGCAGTAATACAGACAGTACACACGCAGTACACAGTACACACGCAGTACACAGTACACACGCAGTACATACACAGTACACACAGTACACAGTGTTGTCCCATGCCCGACCGCATAGCCGCCAAATGAGAGTGAATTCAACCCACGTAGAGCTCATATTTGATAGAAACAACAGGTTAGCCGCGTATTTGTGAAACTGTAGAAAGGGAACCCGTGCAAAGCGAGGGATACCCGTAACGAACCAAAGACGAGCGGGGGAAGTCCGCAGCCAGGCGATGAGAGAGCGCCAAATTACACCCCAAGTTCTGCAGCCCTCTATATATGACGGTGTTATGGGGCAACTCACGTGTGTTTACGTGTGGGAGAAAAGCAGAGCACCTGGATAAAACACACCCGAGTGAGGGGACAAGACTCTATCCCACACAGACGAATGTCGGGAGTCCGAATGTAGCTGTAGCTCCTCCTGGCGTGCTAGGGTGCGGCCACCTCTTCAAACGCCCGTACGAAGGGAGGTTCACAGCATTGGGGTGCGGCGATCCACAAACCCTTGCTGCTGCTGCTGCCTCCACGGTTGCTGGGTTACAGGCAGTCATGTGCAGCAGCAGCAGCGTAGCGACCGCCAAAAATTTACACAGATGTGTTACGCAGTCCGCATAGGCTGGAGGCACGCGATTCGCTCGTCTGCTTATTTATTTTCGTTTCGTTCTTGATACGACGGCGCCGGTTGTGGTTTTTCTCGGCTTAACGAGTACTCGCGCCTTGACTGACACAAAACGTCACGAGATGCGGAGAGGCGAGCGTCACGTTGACGGGGGCCACTGCAGCGAGAGCACGGGCGGTCGCCAGGGGCGACGGTGCCGGGCGGTCGCCAGGGGCGACGGTGCCGGGCGGTCGCCAGGGGCGACGGTGCCGGTGCCGGGCGGTCGCCAGGGGCGACGGTGCCGGTGCCGGGCGGTCGCCAGGGGCGATGGTGCCGGGCCAGGTGCTCCCCTTGGTTTCCGTTCAGAAGCAGGAGCAATGACTACTTGTGCTCAAAATTCCCATTTTACGTTAACTTATATTGAGTGACTTACCAAGTTACAGCCACTTACCAACATCTTGTGCTGTGATTTGTTTGATTTATTTTGGGCCCTCCTGGTATAAAAGCCTCAACCCATGGCAAGTGACCCACCCCTACTTAACATCTGTGTAAAATAGCTTTATAGCTCATTTTATTCCTCCAGAAGAAATAAAAATTCTGATTATGAAATGGCCCACGGCAGTTGAACACGCCACACCACTGTTCCCCCTGTACTGCGAGTAGCGTCCTTATTAGAACTGTAATGCGATGGAATAAATCCCATAGCTTACTTTGACTCATATAGCTCATTCACTGCGTCACCAATGCATTAACGTGAAAGAACGTGTTTGCGAAACGGTGCGTCCTTCTTGCGTTTGCAATGCGTTTGTTGTTTTGCGTTTGATTGCCGCAACGCAGCGCCGGTGTTTCCCGCACACCCAATATTTCTCTTGCACGGTATCCGTGCCGTGAGCCAGTCCCTTCCCTTGAGAACTGCCGCCGCCTGCTGTTATCCCCGATTTCGATTTCCCCGCTAAATTACAGCCACTGGATTCGGATAAAGCTCTAGGTTTGAGTTGGAAACTGGTAAAGTGGCAGATGACCACGGCAGCTAACAGGCGACCGCGGCAGATGGAATGCGGCCGGCGACGGGCGAGCGCGGCGTCGGTCGCTACATGGAGCTCTCGAGCGACTGGTTCACGTAGGGCAGCAGCTTCGCGTCCCGGCGGCACGGCGCAGTCCGCGACGGTGCGCCGGGACGCCTGGCGCAGTTCACGTACGAGTGACGCCCCGGCGACGTCGCCAGCAGCGGGGTGCTGGCACTGCTCGGCTGCCGAGAGCCCTCGCAGCTCCGCAAAGTGGAGCGCGGGCTGGACGTGGACGCGGCCTCGAGCGTGGCGACGGCAACGCCGCCACCACCGCCGGCATCGGCGCCGTCCGGAGGCCTCGGCGACTCGAGCGGCGGCACGTAGGCGAGGTTCGAGAAATTCCCGTTGGAGAAAGGTGACCCCGGCCAGAGAGACGGCGCGTGGCCGTGCCAAACGTACTCGTGGCACGGCGTCCTCGAGGTTTCGTCTGCGCGGTCTCCTCCCGGCGGCGGCGGCAATGCCGCGTTGTCCCCGGTGCCCGGGGACGCCCGACGGTCTGAGAGGTCGTCCTCAAGCCTCGCTGCATTCGGCAAGAGGCGGGCCACGCTCGCGTCCTTGTTGTTATTGTTGTTGTTGCGTAGAGGCGGCGGGGATCCGATGCCGGCGCCCCGGTCCGTGACGGATTTTGGCACGAGGCTCGGAGCGGACTCGATCAGAAGCGGGAGCTCGATTTCCTTGCCGAGGTCGTCAAAAATCTTTCCTTCGAAAACGTCGATCATTGCCGTCTCCCCTGCGATCTTCATCGTTCCCAACTCCTTCCTCCCCGCCGTGGGCGATGTCTCTGTCAGCTCCGAGAGGACCTCGACGACACAGACCTGCGCGTTCGAGTCGGCTGTGACTGTGCAGCCGACTTCGTACGACTCGCCCAACCACCTCTGTTGCATAAAGAAGACAAAGATCCCCCGTATAGATTTAACAGAACTGTTGGGGCAGGTGCTGTTAACGAGCACATATGAAGGCCGGCACAGCACACGAGGGGGTGTGGGTGGCCAACTCCACGCTCGGCCGCCTTTGTCTCCCTCGTGGCGATGTTTACACACTGCACCAGGCACTCATTTGAGCCTGAGTCGACCTAGGGGATGCCCGGGACAGGTTCAGATAATCGTCACTGGTGTTGGCTGTGAGCGGGAATCGAACCCGGGTCGCCAGGTTCGAAGCGCTAACCGTTACACTACCGCTCCCCACACGTGCACACACACACACGTACACACACACACGTACACACACACGTACACACACACGTACACACACACACGTACACACACATGCACACGAACACGCGCACATGCACAACCACCACCAAGTGACGGTGACGTCACCACGGCGTTTGTGCCAGGCTATGTGCACTCTAAGACCGCGTAGGTCACGGGACAGACCCAGGTGTCATGGGTTGACTGACTAAGATGAGTGGCCGATGCGCCACCTGTGCCCCCTACTGTGCCAACTTGTGCATACACACACACGCGCGCACACGACACAGATCGCCCGTTCATAACAGGTTTTTTTTAGTTAGATCGTGTAAAATAGAAATATGTGGTTAAACCCACCACCAATTCGTAAGGTCTGTCACGTAATCAAACAAAAAGGTTTGTCACGTAAACAAAAACTGGCAATTTGTTACTAGTTCACCACATTGATATTTATGCGATCTAACTCAAAACCCCATATTATGAATACTGGTATCTAAAGCCTTTGTGTTAAATCCCCCGTTCAGCATTGCTGCCGTGACCTGCAGTGCTGGTGGTGGTTGAGCACGCTGTGATGGAGACGAAACAGTCGGTGTCTGCTCGAGCGACTCTCACACATGGGCGGATGATCAATGTGTGAAGTACACGTCACACAGCAACCGCTGTCGTAGCAGTAGCGCTAGTCGAGTGATAAGGAGACGAGCGACCACCGCTGAGCAAGTGACTGGAATTGAATCGGTCACTGCCGGATCAGCAATCACCCAGAACGCTGCTTCACTCTGAGTTGTATCCCCGCACCTGCGATTGGCACGGTTGGCTACGTTCGGTGCGAAAGAAGTTCAACGTATGAGGTGCAGGAGTCCGTGAGAAGGACCTGCGTGCGCCACCCGGGCGAGGGCAGCAGCAGGGTGCTCCCTGTGCTCATTTACACGCCGCTGGGACGAGCGCCTCCAACTCACTGCCTGGAGCTCGTTTCCATCGGTGACTTTTATCGCTGACACCGTCGAGAAAGCGACCGAAGAGTTGAATAAGGAAGCGCACCGAGTGGGGCTCCAGATGGACAGACACAAAAGTGAGGCTTTTAGATTTACAGATCCACCATCCCTGCCCATTCACCACACTCCATCCACCATCCACCACACCCCATCCACCATACACTACGCCCCATCCACCACACCCCATCCACCATCCACCACACCCTATCCACCATACACCACGCCCCATTCACCATGCCCTGTGTCCACCACGCCCCGTGTCCCACCACACCCCGTCCACCACGCCCCATCCACCACACCCCATCCACCATCCACCACACCCTGGGCCACCACACCCCATCCACCATCCACCACACCCTGTGTCCACCACGCCCCGTGTCCACCACACCCCATCCACCATCCACCACACCCTGTGTCCACCACGCCCCGTGTCCACCACGCCCCGTCCACTGCTTTATGCCTGTGGAGCCGGCACTGGCCATCTGGTGCCCAGAAAATGTGGGGGAGAAGTGAGGGGGCAGTGGGGGCTGGTTGCGGTGTGGCTACCTGGAAGAGGCCGGCAAAGTGAGTCTCCAGGCTGGGGATGGGAGGCCACACGTGCTCCTTGATTCTGCACCACACAAGAAGACAAAGGATCATCCCTGTCGCCTGTTACAGACTCCTGGGGCGAGTGGCGTTAAAGCGAGCGGGGCCGGTGAAGGCCGTCACGGCACGCGAGGTGGTAGGTTGGTAAACACCTTTGTCTGCCCGATGTTCACTACACACCGCGCCAGATACTCATTGAAGGCTAAACGCACACACAAACACACGCACGCACACAGGCACACGGACACACCAGTGCAGTGCGCACACTTGGCTGGGCCCGTACGAGGCGCAACGTAACGGTGGATTGAGCATGCGGACCTGCCGGCGTGAGCGAGCGACGCGCCCAGAGCCATGAGCAGCAGCAGCAGCAGCGCCACCACCGCCAGCGCGCGGATGATCCAGGCGGCACCATCTGCACCGAAGAGAAACATCCTCCGTGTAGCCCACACACGGACTGCTGGGCCAAGTGCTGTTCGTTGAGCAGCAGCGCCTGCGACGGCCGCGCCCCTATGAAGAGGTGGTGTGGCCAGCACCATGCCATGGCCGTCTTTCTCTCCCCAATGTTGATGTTTTAACGCAGCGCACCAGATACTCATTTAAGGCCGAGTCGACCTAGAGGTGGCCCAGACCCGATTCAGATGCAGGTGCGTGCATTTCATTCTGTCCCAGGCTTGGCCTCACAGCCGACGCCGCCACTCGTTATTGTTCGCAAGCCGTGCGCACACTCCTCGCGTCAACGCCTTTGCTTGTTATCATGAGGGGTAACTGGCTGTGTTGTTATCGTGAGGGGTAACTGTGGCTGTGTGTTGTTATCGTGAGGGGTAACTGTGGGTGTGTGTTATCGTGAGGGTTAACTGTGGGTGTGTTTTGTTATCGTGAGGGTTAACTGTGGGTGTGTGTTATCGTGAGGGGTAACTGTGGCCGTGTGTTGTTATCGTGAGGGGTAACTGTGGCTGTGTGTTGTTATCGTGAGGGGTAACTGTGGCTGTGTGTTGTTATCGTGAGGGGTAACTGTGGCTGTGTGTTGTTATCGTGAGGGGTAACTGTGGCTGTGTGTTGTTATCGTGAGGGGTAACTGTGGCTGTGTGTTGTTATCGTGAGGGGTAACTGTGGCTGTGTGTTGTTATCGTGAGGGGTAACTGTGGCTGTGTGTTGTTATCGTGAGGGGTAACTGTGGCTGTGTGTTATCGTGAGGGGTAACTGTGGCTGTGTGTTGTTATCGTGAGGGGTAACTGTGGCTGTGTGTTGTTATCGTGAGGGGTAACTGTGGCTGTGTACCCTCATCTCGAGTTCTTTGTCCTGCCATGGGGTAGTGACTGCTGCCCGATGTTATAGTGCAAACGTGATTCAGATTTGCATTTTTTTGTATTTATCCATGCCCTGTAATGTACAGGGTGCTTCAAAAATGTTTACACTTATATGGGATTATTCTTCTTTGGTTCTTTCGGTAAAGTCACGTATAAAGATAAAATAATAAATTAAATAATAGCATACGACGTTTCGATTGCAACACAAGCAATCATCAGGTATAATGAAATAGCGACACAAAACCACAGACAGACATATAAGCAGACAGATATCACCAAGATACACAGAGCAACACAGGTATCTTGGTGATATCTGTCTGCTTATATGTCTGTCTGTGGTTTTCTGGTTAGATTTTGTGTCGCTATTTCATTATACCTGATGATGATTGCTTGTGTTGCAATCGAAACGTCGTATGCTATTATTTAATTTACCGAAAGAACCAAAGAATAATTCCTGCAGTCACTAAAGCTCCAAAATTAAGATTATATGGGACTAACGTTTTTAATGGAAAAAGAACGGATAATACTACACTGTCACATCATAAATGTATGTTAATAGCGTCAAAAAGTCAAGAGTCTCCACTTGTTCGCCATCATTGTTATCGCTTGTCTGGAATCTTCTCCAGGTGGTCTCCAGAGCCCGGAGGCACATTTCTCGTACTATTGTTGCCAATTCTCAGAAGTGTTAAGAGCATTTTTGAAGCAACCTGCACTTGGAGGAATGCCTCGCTTCACGCGGCACTTTGCAGGTATCTCGACTGGCGCGTTGAACGAGGGCTCGCTGTTCTGTACGATCCACCCGACTGCCCTCGCCCTCCCCGTTGTTAGTCACGTGTCTGGACGCCACGGGTGGCAAGCTGTTAACTACCTCGCCTAATCTACCGGACGTTGTGGGTTCGATCCCGACCCTGACGCCTGCTGTATATTCGGAGTGTGCGTGTCTCTCTCCCCGTGGTCGCGTGTATTTTTCTCCGGGTCCTCTGGTTTTTCCCTCCACGTTTAGAATCATGTTTTTAGATTATTTGGCTGCTATAAATGTCCACGTGATGATAAGCCACTTTGTTGAGCTATCATTTGTGGCCAGGTCGCTTCTGAAAACGTTCGACATAGCTCAGTGGGCCTTACCTGGTAAAAAAAGTTTCGTTTAGTTATGAGTCCATAATTATGAAAATATCTTAGTTGTGTTGAAACTCGTTACTCTAGGAGGTTTTGGATCAGAAAAAATTTTATCGGGAACGCATCTTAGTTCATAAAATTTGTGACATTATGTAAAGACGCGTTTCAATATACGATTTTTTACTTTTGCGTTCAGGTGTTTCGATATCGCAGCCGAAACGCATACAGAGGCATGCCCGCATTCGTCACCGATGTTGGCCGTGAGTGGGAATCCAACGTGGGTCGTCGGGTTCGAGGTGCAGTGCTAACTGCCGTGCCACCGATCCCAGCGCACGCACGCAGACAACGTGACCGCCAAGTTCCGCCGTGTGACCGCCACGTTCCGCCGTGTGACCGCGCAGACCGAACGTGGGCAAGTCGGCGGCGCGCCACGTTGTTACAACGGAGATGGAGAAATAGCGGCCCCCTGGGGACGGAGGAAACGCCACCGCCGCTTCTTGCGCAAGGGCGACCTGGGTTACAATGTCAGGTGTTGTTAGCGAGCGCCTATTAAGGCCCGCGCTGCCGCTCCCTCCGAGGGGGTGGTGTAGCTGGTGTGGACTCACCGATGATGAATCGCACTATAATTGTGCACTCTGCAAATAGCTACAGGGAGCCAGGTACGATGTTTTGTGTAAAATAATGATGATGATTGTTGTAAGAGAAGGCAATTGTGGTCATTGGGTCCTGAGGCGCCACGTCCACAGCAGAGTACGGGGGCATGCCTCCAATTTAGATTTGGGCTGACTTCGGATTTAGGAATTCAGCTGCGTTGGTGTGACGTGGAGGGTGGTGTGACGTGGAGGGTGGTGTGACGTGGAGGGTGGTGTGACGTGTGTGCGGTGTGACGTGACGTGTGTGCGGTGTGACGTGACGTGTGTGCGGTGTGACGTGACGTGTGTGCGGTGTGACGTGACGTGTGTGCGGTGTGACGTGACGTGGAGGGTGGTGTGACAGGGTGGTGGTGTGACCTGAAGAGGGTGGTGTAACGTGAGGGGTGTCTCTGATCTCCTATCCCGATCTCACAAGGATTCACCGCGGGAGGAGAGGCGTCAGGGTGGACCGGCTACACCAGCACGACGGAGGCGGCGTGCTGGTGTAGCCGAGTCCAAGTAAACACTCACGAGAGACGGGAGCTCTAACCCCTAGGGTTTGTGGTTTTACCCAATTTCCGGGTGATATTTTCAAACCTGGCAATTTTTCGTATTGCAACACCGGCATGCGCCACGGTGGCTAAGAGACATTAACTACCTCGCCTGGTATGCAGGAGGTCGTGGGTTCGATCCCGACCCTGACGCCTGCTGTATATTTGGAGTTTGCGTGTCTCCCGATGGTCGCGTGGATTTTTCTCCAGGTCCTCCACATGTAAAATCAGCGTCACGCATTTAGAGCATTTGGCTGCTTTACATTTCTACATAATAAGCCACTTTGTTGAACTTTCATTTGTGATAGCCAGGTCGCTACTGAAAAAGAGCTCTAGAACTCAGTAGGGCTGACTTGGTAAATAGAAAAAAACGATTGTGATTATTTTGGTTCGGTGTTCTGCGAATATCGAGCAAGCTTGTGTGAGTCCCGTGCGGTGCAAGAGGTAGAGTACGAGGTGTGCGTGTTGTAGACTAGTCCAGGCGTGTGTTCCAGACTTCTCGGCATGCGTGTTCTAGAGAGCACACGGTGCCAGCGTTAAGGAGTTGTGTGCCTGGTAAAATAAAAAAGTAGTTTTCGTCGTTTTTGAGTTTCAGTGCCGTGGGCCACATCTCACCCGTGGGGGCGCGTGGCTTGACGCTGACGGGGGAGCTCCAGGCCCCCCACTCTCCCGCGAGGCTCACGCCGTCGGGCCTGGCACGCACCTGCACCAGGTAGCCCGGCCCGGCCCGCAGGCTGTGCAGCCGGTGGTGGCCTCCCTCGGCATGGCCCACACTCACGAGCTGACGGGGGGCACCGGTGGTGGGGGTGAGGGGGGCACAAGGGGGGGGGGGGGCACGTAGGGAGACGCGCAGGGACCGCTGCAGCCAATCGGAGCCGGTTTGAGCCTCACAGTGTGCGGCAAGGCACGCGGCATCACCGTGCAGGGAAGGGGGTGAAGTTTATCGCGGGCACGGTAAGGCAGGCGAGGAGTCACGGCACCAGGAGAGGGTATCCCCCTCGTGTAGCAATAGGATTATGGTTAGGATCACCTCGAGGTAAGTTTAAGGATTAGGGTTAGGGATAGGTTAAGTTTAGGGAGTATTATTATGGTTAGCATTAGGTAAAGGTTAAGTGTAGGGAGTATAATTATGGTTAGCATTAGGTAAAGGTTAAGTTTAGGAAATCGGATGATGGTTAGGTATAAGGTTAGGCGGTGAGGATCAGGGACAGCTTGGGGTTGACATTAGCAATAGGATATGAATTGGGGTTAAGAATAAGGTTGGAGATTAGGGGTTATGATGTTAAGTATTAGGGCTAGAGATAAGTTTGTGTTTAGGGTTAGGATTATGGTCAGGGTTAAGAATAGAGTTGGGGTGAGTGGATAGGATTATGGTTAGGATTAGGGTGAGCGATACGTTTTCAACGAGGGATAATATTGTGGTTGGGGTGTGGGGCGATGAGGAACGGCGGTGGCGGACCTTCCACACGGAGGAGTTGTCGGCGATGTAGCGCAGCTCGTAGTGAAGGTGTTCGCTCAGCTCCTGGCTGGGCGGCCCCCACGCCACCGTCACGTCGCCCCCGGAGCCGTCGGGCTCGGCGCTCACGTTCACGGGGGGGCCCGGACGCACTGTCCATACATGGCCATTAGTATCACCGTCATCATCATCATCGTCGTCACGATCATCATCATCGTCACGGTCATCATCGTCGTCACGGTCAATCATCGTCGTCACGGCCATCATTGTCATCAAAGGTTTATGTTATCTTAACATGCGTGAAATGCTTTGAACCTAGTGGTATGAGAGGCACTCGAAAATAAACATTAATATTACTCTGATTAAAACTGCATGAAAACTCCACAAGGACGGGCTAAAGAAAATCAGTCGCCATTCTGACTGCCTGGAAATTCACGAATCCTCCCTCAATGTTCAAGTCGTGCCAAAACAGCCTCAACGCGTCCGGGAGTCTGGTGACCAGGACCGGAAGGGCAATGACCATCGTCATCATCCAGACCGTCAAGAGAAGCGAGCGGGGCTTGATGCGTCATGGCCAGAAGGGACGATGGCAAAGAAAAACGACGGAGCGGCAGCCGAAGAACGGCGTGCTGTAAGCGAGCGCCTATTAAGGCCGGAACTGCACACGAGGGGGTGGGTGGCCATCACCACGCTCGACCGCCTTTGTCTCACCAGTGGAGATGTTTTTACGCACCACACCAGGAACTCATTTGAGGCTGAGTCGACCTAGGGGAGGCCCAGGACCGGCTCAGATAATCGTCACTGGTGTTGGCCGTGAGCAGGAATCGAACCCGGGTCGCCGGGTTCATAGCGCAGAACACTAACCACTACACTACCGCTCCCCACACACGTACACACACACAAGTACACACACACGTACATACACACACACGTACACACACACGTACATACACACGTACACACACACGTACATACACACATACGTAGACACACACGTACACACACACACGTACACACACACGTACACACACGTACACACGTACACACACGTGCACACACATGTACACACACGTACACACACACACGTACACACCCTGCTGACGCACGAGGAAGGGCCCTAGCTGCACTTCGTGCCGCCCGTTTTCGTTGGAGGCGTTCACGGTCACCAGCACGGCGCTGTCTTCGTGCACGGGGAAGCTGCAGCGCCAAGTCGGGCCTCGCTCCGCTTCCTCGTCCCGCTCCTCCTCCCACTGCCACTCAGCAGCACAGGGCTGAGCTCGCCCCCCGCTGCCGGCGCACGTACACACGCACGTATATACACGTGTATGAACACGCACGCAGAGACACGCATGAACACGCACGCACACACACGAACACGCACATACGAACAAGCGCACGCACACGCACAACGGCGATGTTGTCGTGACAGCACCCAGCGGTAACGCCGTTCCACCGCTCGCGCGGATGTCCGCGGTTTGAATCCGGCAGGCCGCCCTGGTTATTACTGCTGGTGGTGCTTTCACAGTGGACGTTAAAGATCCTGTGACGTCATTCAAAACGAGGAATAGGCCATCGTGTAGCGGGGTCACGGTCCAGATTTTCCAACTAATAAAAAAATGACAGCGCAAACTACTCAATCGGGATTATATGCAGCAGCAATAATCGCCCCCTACTGGCAGACTGATGACCGTTTGCAGGCCAGGCACTGAGTTACCTTGTGCCGCACAGGGACAGCTGCCACTGGGGGTGCCCTGTTTAACTGTTTGAGATGAGATGCGAGGGTGCCAGTGAAGCCGTGAGACTCCACGGCGTGAAGAGGAGTGCGGCACTACCAACACACAAATCGTCGTCATCATCGTCATTGTCGTCATCGTCGTCATTGCCATCGTCGTCATCGTCGTCATCCTCGTGATCGTCGTCATCGTCGTCATTGTTGTCGTCATTGTTATCATCGTCGGCGTCGTCATCACGAGAGGTCAAAACATATCGGCATCGCCGCAACACGACACGCAGCGCCATTACCCGAGTCGATAGGAAGCCGTGAAGGAGGTGTCGCTCAGGTTGGCGGCTCGAGGGCTCTGCCACTCACACACGACGGACAGCAGGTCGGCCGTGAAGCAGCGGACGTCCAGCTTCCCTGGAAACGACGACAACGAGGATGGGATGCTCGCGTGCGAACTCGACGGGGCTGTGGTCGCCACCAAGCCAGGGTATTGCCGTCGTGCGTGTCGGGTGGCAGCAGTCGATTTGTGCCGACACCCGGCACCGTTGTTGCATTGAATTTCATCGCAGTGACTGCCGAGCAGTTTGGATGACAGACCTCGTGCCGACTGAGAAATGTGTCCGGGTTTGCTCTGTGGGAAGGGGAACAACCTGAAAGGGAGCTCAGACGCGGAGTCGGCACCGCTGACATCCTGGCTTTGAATTTGGATTTCAGTCATTAAAACCGGGGTTTCAAGCGTAGCGAGTCGATGGTCTCAGCACGATCACCAATCAATTACATCGAGACTCGTAGACTCACACAGAGACCCATAGACTCACAGAAACCCCATAGACTCATATAGCGACCCATAGACTCACACAGATACCCATAGATACACAGACTGAGTTGTGATTAAACCAGATTCGGACACTGTTCACGTGGAAACTTTCTTTTGTTATCAGCTGTGCCAAATGGAGAAGTGACGACAACACATTTTACTTGCGCAGTGATCTGATCCAAAAATCTACAGTATTGTGAATCAAAGCAGACATAGTTTACATGTGACATTTACTACGAAAAGAAAAATGTACACGCACTTAGTCCTTAGATCAACGATTTATGTTTGAGACCTATCATCCTACTTTGGTGATCTCGTCAAGCAGATAATTCATCAGGCAAACTCCGGTCATCCTCGCAGTGGCTTTTGGCTAACCACCGAACAAAGACGGTCACCGCATCGCGCGCTTTCCTATAAGCTGCTGCGGCTGTATGGAATGCTCTTCCTTCCGATATTTAGGACGCCACGGGAGCTATGCACTTTTAAATTTAAATTGATCTCGGATTTCCAGACGCGCACACACGCGGATCTCCAGACGCGCACATACACACGGATATCGAGACGCACACACACACTCGGATCTCCAGACGCACACACACACTCGGATCTCCAGACACACACACTCGGATCTCCAGACACACACACACACGCGGATCTCCAGACGCGCACACACACGCGGATCTCCAGACACACACACACACGCGGATCTCCAGACACACACACACACGCGGATCTCCAGACGCACACACACACGTGGATCTCCAGACACACACACACACGCGGATCTCCAGACACTCACACACACACGCGGATCTCCAGACACACACACACACGCGGATCTCCAGACGCACACACACGCGGATCTCCAGACGCACACACACACACGGATATCGAGACGCACACACACACTCGGATCTCCAGACACACACACACGCGGATCTCCAGATGCACACACATACGCGGATCTCCAGATGCACACACACACGCGGATCTACAGACAGACACACACACGTGAATCTCCAAACGCGCACACACACGCGAATTTCCAGACGCACACACACACGCGGAATCGAGACGCGCACACACACACACGGATATCTAGACGCACATACACACGCGAATCTCCAGACACACACACGCGGATCTCCAGATGCACACACATACGCGGATCTCCAGATGCACACACACACGCGGATCTACATACAGACACACACACGTGAATCTCCAAACGCGCACACACACGCGAATTTCCAGACGCACACACACACGCGGAATCGAGACGCGCACACACACACGCGGATCTCCAGACGCACACACACACTCGGATCTCCAGACGCACACACACACTCGGATCTCCAGACACACACACACGTGGATCTCCAGACGCACACACACACTCGGATCTCCAGACAAACACACACGTGGATCTCCAGACGCGCACACACACGCGGATCTACAGACACACACACACGCGGATCTTGAGACGCGCACACACACTCGGATCTCCAGACGCACACACACACACGGATATCGAGACGCACACAGACACTCGGATCTCCAGACACAAACACACACGCGGATCTCCAGACACACACACACACACGCGAATCTCCAGACGCACACACACACGCGGATCTCCACACACACACACGAATCTCCAGACACACACACACGCGAATCTCCAGACGCGCACACACACGCGGATTTCCAGACGCACACACACACTCGGATCTCCAGACACACACACACACGCGGATCTCCAGACACACACACACACGCGGATCTCCAGACACTCACACACACGCGCGGATCTCCAGACACACACACACACGCGGATCTCCAGACGCACACACACGCGGATCTCCAGACGCACACACACACACGGATATCGAGACGCACACACACACTCGGATCTCCAGACACACACACACGCGGATCTCCAGATGCACACACATACGCGGATCTCCAGATGCACACACACACGCGGATCTACAGACAGACACACACACGTGAATCTCCAAACGCGCACACACACGCGAATTTCCAGACGCACACACACACGCGGAATCGAGACGCGCACACACACACACGGATATCTAGACGCACACACACACGCGAATCTCCAGACACACACACGCGGATCTCCAGATGCATACACATACGCGGATCTCCAGATGCACACACACACGCGGATCTACATACAGACACAGACACACACACGTGAATCTCCAAACGCGCACACACACGCGAATTTCCAGACGCACACACACACGCGGAATCGAGACGCGCACACACACACGCGGATCTCCAGACGCACACACACACTCGGATCTCCAGACGCACACACACACTCGGATCTCCAGACACACACACACGTGGATCTCCAGACGCACACACACACTCGGATCTCCAGACACACACACACGTGGATCTCCAGACGCGCACACACACGCGGATCTACAGACACACACACACACGCGGATCTTGAGACGCGCACACACACTCGGATCTCCAGACGCACACACACACACGGATATCGAGACGCACACAGACACTCGGATCTCCAGACACACACACACACGCGGATCTCCAGACACACACACACGCGAATCTCCAGACGCGCACACACACGCGGATTTCCAGACGCACACACACACTCGGATCTCCAGACACACACACACACGCGAATCTCCAGACGCACACACACACTCGGATCTCGAGACACACACACACACGCGGATCTCCAGACACACACACACACACGCGAATCTCCAGACGCACACACACACGCGGATCTCCACACACACAAACGAATCTCCAGACACACACACACGCGAATCTCCAGACGCGCACACACACGCGGATTTCCAGACGCACACACACACTCGGATCTCCAGACACACACACACACGCGAATCTCCAGACGCACACACACACTCGGATCTCGAGACACACACACACACGCGGATCTCCAGACACACACACACACGCGAATCTCCAGACGCACACACACACGCGAATCTCCAGACACACACACACGCGAATCTCCAGACGCACACACACACTCGGATCTCCAGACACACACACACGCGAATCTCCAGACGCACACACACACGCGAATCTCCAGACACACACGCGAATCTCCAGACGCACACACACACACGGATCTCCAGACGCACACACACGCGGATCTCCAGACGCGCACACACACGCGGATCTCCAGACGCACACACACGCGGATCTCCAGACGCACACACACTCGGATCTCCAGACGCGCACACACGCTGATCTCCAGATGCACACACACACGCGGATCTCCAGACGCGCACACACACACGGATCTCCAGACGCACACACACGCGGATCTCCAGACGCGCACACACACGCGGATCTCCAGACGCACACACACACTCGGATCTCCAGACACACACACACTCGGATCTCAAGACGCGCACACACACACATGTGGATCTCGAGACGCGCACACACACTCGCGGATCTCCAGACGCACACACACACACTCGGATCTCGAGACGCACACACACACTCGGATCTCGAGACACACACACACACTCGGATCTCCAGACGCACACACACACTCGGATCTCGAGACGCACACACACACGCGGATCTCCAGACGCACACACACACACATGTGGATCTCGAGACGCGCACACACACGCGGATCTCCAGACGCACACACACACACTCGGATCTCCAGATGCACACACACTCGGATCTCGAGACGCGCACACACACACGCGGATCTCCAGACGCACACACACACTCGGATCTCCAGACGCGCACACACACGCGGATCTCGAGACGAACGAAAGCGGCATCAGAGGGGCGAGGCGGAGGCAGCGGCGAGCTCACCGGTGACGAACGGAGGGGCCGCCGTCACCGCCAGCGACCACTCGCTCCAGGGCCCTGCGTACTGACTCTGGTCCGAGGGCCGGGCCCTGACGCGGAACCTGTACACGGCGGCCTCCTCGTCGGGGAAGTGCAGCTCCGCCCAAGTGTCGTACGCGGTCTTCTCCTGCGGCCAACACGCACGCTCGGCTCCCTTCACGGAGCACTCGGCAACGGAGCCGAGGGATTTCCTGGCGCCGAGGGCACCGACGCCTCGTCAGGGCTCCCCCTCACAAAAGACCCAACGCACACGATCCCTGGGGTCGACGCTCACAGTTCACCCTGAAACCGTGGCAGTAGATGCGGATACCTGATGTTGCGTAACTGGACAATGTGAAACTCTCCAGCGGTGTGCGACTGTGGTCATCCAGAACAAACCATACAACATTTAACGACGCAATGCCCCGATCCACAAATGGGAAGGAGACATCACCGTGATACGGTACCGCTGCTCCTGACGCGGTTATCTGGATCTAACCATCTGAATGTGAAATTGAAGTCGTTGCTCTGCATCTACATCCGCCGTACAGAAGAAGGAGGAGGAGGAGACCGAGCAAGAATCTCGCTCCGGCTTGGAGCGCGAGCACGGATCGCTCGAAAGACGCGGCGGCCGTGTCGGGGGGCCGGGGCGGGGGGGGGGGGCAGGGAAGGGGGCGGCCGATCACAGCCGAGGGCTCTCACGTGCGGTGGGGCGGCGGGCTCAGGGGTCGCGCGGCCGCCCTTCGTCACCCGCTCATAGCATAGCTGGAAGAGGAGCGCAAAGTCGCTGCCCGGGGCAGGCGCCCACGATGCGCGCAGACGTCCCTGGCGGCCGTCGCTCCTCACCGCCAGCTCGCCCGGCGGGTCGACCAGAACTGGCAGGGCAGCAGCAGCGGCGGCAGCGGTCAGCACCGGACAGCGGCGCCATCTCCCCTCGCGTCTCCTCCCCGCGTCTCCCCCGCGTCTCCCCCGCGTCTCCCCCCCGGCGTCTCCCCCCTGCGTCTCCCCCCCGCGTCTCCCCCGCGTCTCCCCCCCGCGTCTCCCCCGCGTCTCCCCCCCGCGTCTCCCCCGCGTCTCCCCCCCGCGTCTCTCCCCCACGTCTCCCCCGCGTCTCCCCCCCACGTCTCCTCCGCGTCTCCCCCCCGCGTCTCCCCCGCGTCTCCCCCCCGCGTCTCCCCCGTGTCTCCCCCGCGTCTCCCCCCCGCGTCTCCCCCGTGTCTCCCCCCTGCGTCTCCCCCGCGTCTCCCCCCGCGTTTCCCCCCGCGTCTCCCCCCCGCGTCTCCCCCACGTCTCCCCCTGCGTCTCCCCCCCGCGTCTCCCCCGTGTCTTTCCCCCGCGTCTCCCCCGCGTCTCCCCCGCGTCTCCCCCCCGTCTCCCCCCCGCGTCTCCCCCGCGTCTCCCCCCCGCGTCTCCCCCGTGCCTCCCCCGCGTCTCCCCCCCGCGTCTCCCCCGTGTCTCCCCCCCGCGTTTCCCCCGCGTCTCCCCCGCGTCTCCCCCCGCATTTCCCCCCGCGTCTCCCCCGCGTTTCCCCCGCATCTCCCCCGCGTTTTCCCCCGCGTCTCCCCCCCACGTCTCCCCCTCGTCTCCCCCGTGTCTCCCCCCCGCGTCTCCCCCGCGTCTCCCCCCCGCGTCTCCCCCGTCTCCCCCCGTCTCCCCCACGTCTCCCCCCGCGTTTCTCCCCGCGTCTCCTCCCCGCGTCTCCCCCGCGTTTCCCCCCCACATCTCCCCTCCGTCTCCCCCTGCGTTTCCCCCCGCATCTCCCCATCTCCCCCCTGTGTCTCCCCCCGTCTCCCCCACGTCTCCCCCGCGTCTCTTCCCCGCGTCTCCCCCGCGTCTCCCCAGCGTCCCCCCCCGCGTCTCCCCCGCGTCTCCCCCGCGTCACCCCCACATCTCCCCCGCGTCTCCCCCCGCGTTTCCCCCCGCGTCTCCCCCCCGCATCTCCCCCGCGTCTCCCCCTGCATCTCCCCCCGCGTCTCCCCCGCGTCTTTCCCCCACATCTCCCCCGCGTCTCCCCCGCGTCTCCCCCCGCGTCTCCCCCGCGTCTCCCCCGCGTCACCCACGCGTCTCCCCCGCGTCTCCCCCCGTTTCCCCCCGCGTCTCCCCCCG